CATATAGAATTAATATTAAAAAACTCAATGTACAAGATGCAGAGTTGCTTTGAATAATTCATATAAATGATGTTATGAGTTTATGAAATCTACATCTGGAAATAATTTGTACAAATGAAACTATGACTCTCTTTCAGTCCCAAAGACCTTCAGGGGCTTATATACCATAGAATTATTCATTTGTGTGTTGATAAACTGTTCGATAATTTATGTGTTTAATTACAGCAAAAAATGTTCTAATTCTTACTTGTTGTTGCAATTCTTACTCTTTTAAGCTATTAACAGAAAGTGTCTTGAACAAGCTATTTATAATTTACTGCAATGGAACCTGCTGTAAAGAACAACAATCAACATAGAAAATATATTTTAAGGAAATGCTTTTGCAACTGATTTGAATGAGATTTATTTTAAAAGGTTGCTTATATGAACATAAAAGATAGTCTTGTTAAAATGATCTTATTGCCAAAAGAATACCAGCAACTATAAAGTTTTATTGATGTTGCCTGCAGATAAATTATCTGTTTATGAGTATCAGTTGCAAACCAAGTTACATGAAATAGATCAAAACTAAGAACTGTTAATCTGCAAACAGAAGGAGCAAACGAAGATCACAAGGGACAGAGAAAAGGAGCACTGATAAATTCACCTCATTGAGCAAAAAGGATCGTTCTATCTAGTCTTTTCCTACCAGGTTTAGGTGCTGGGTTTCAGTTTTCCCAAAGTTTGGCATTGGTCCAGAGTCCCCAGAGTAGACAGGAATATGGTCTTTGATACTCTGACTTGAGCCTGAACTTTGTGAGTGAAATATAATCTAGTTTCCAACTCTGGTTTTAACTGACTGGTGAATTGTTGGTTCCCTCAGAACTGTTAACTTGCCTATAGCCAATCTTTACTATCTTACAGCCTGTGAGAAAATACAGGTTTGTAGTAACATACATGCCTTTGAAATCTTCTGTGAAACATATGTTTAATTATAATAATAAATACTGTATTTATATTTTACCCAGCAGCCATTTTCTGCCCTTGCATGCTAGATCTGATGTATTCTGATGTAATAGTCATGGAACTCTTACAGAAGACTCTGCCTCAAAGTAGAAAATTGGGACTTTTGACCATAGAATTCCATAATAGTTTTGTCACCTATCATATTTATAGGTTTTGCGAAATCTCTTTTCTTACTAAACTAATTTTTACTGAACTAAAATTTATGCACTTCTGATTCTTCACCATGAAATTTCCCGTGACCCGACAAATGCGCGAACGTCAAAAGCGCGGCGACAAAACGGCGGTGCTAAAACCGCGATGTCAAAAGCGCGCCGACAACAGCGCGCCGACAGAAGCGCGATTTAAGTTAAGGTAAGGTTTAGGGTTAGGGTTAGAGCGCGCTTCTGTCGGCGCGCTGTTGTTGGCGCGCTTCACCGCTCATTCGTCGGTGCTGTTTTGTCACCGCGGTTTAGTCAGCCGTGCTTTTGTCGTTCACGCATTTGTGGTGGAACCTAAATTTCCATCAGCACAATAATTGCTTCTTTGAGTTAGGCTATGCTTGTAACATGGACAGTATCTAGTCACCTTGACTTTTATCAATCTTTTTTTCAATTGTCTTGTTTTTTTCCATGAATCAAACTCATCTCCTTGTTCATTAGGACAGTTGCCATCTTGTTATGTGTCCAAAATATCTAAGTTTTAACTTCATTATTAGTACTTCCATTGGTAGTCAATTATTTGTTTCTACAGTCCAAGGAATTTTATGTTTTCCCCAGCACTACAATTCAAAGAGATCTCTTTTCTTTGTTTACTCTGATACTTTTCAATTATTTGTTTTTCCATGTTTCCCAGGAAATACATTACTTTTAATAACAATTACCTTTGTTATAATATGAAAAAGAACTGCAGTTCTAAATATATAATCCAAGAATCACTTGAGAAGCATTAGATGCTAAAAATGGGTGGGGGGGATGCTGGCAACATAGGACAGCCAAATTAAAAATTTAACACTAGACCCAACTTCAGTAAGTCTTTTTCAGACTATGGAGCAAAATACTGAGGCAGGGGGAGACAAATAGGGCAGTTCTGAAGGATAATAATGCATGAGGAAAACGTTGGGAAGATATTACTTTGCTATTTATGTAAAAAGTATTATTTAAAAACAGTATGAATTATTGGAAACATGAATCACAGCGCCGCTGAAAATGATAAAACAAAATTTGTATGGAATTTTAAAATTTAGACTGATCAATACTTGGGACAGAATACACCAGGCATTACTGTCCTTGAAAAGAACCATGTTTGGGTTATTCCTGTAGCTACCCCAGGAGATAGAATAATATTGAAGACAAGGAATGGGAAAGGAATACAGTATAATCCTACAAAAAATGCAAAATGGAAAAAACTGTTGATTAGGGTATCTATTATTAGTGGAACTTCAAGTACAATATCAGAAAGACATAGAATTTGGGTGGGATAACCTATTAAAGCTCAACTACAAACAATAACACTAATCGGTACCTCACACATACCGTATTTTTGGAGTATAAGACACACTGGAGTATAAGACACACCAAGCTTTTGAAGAGGCAAATTTTTTTAAAAAAATTGCACTCTGCAGACCTCCCAAAAACGGCTCATTTTTTTTGCGAAAACGGGCTTGTGTGGTTTTTTTTATTTAAAAAAAGGGCATAAATAGCCTTTAGGAGGCTTGTAGAGTGCTCCTGGGGGAATGGGTTGGGGGCAAAATTAAGCAAAAAAATGCCCCATTTTTCGCTCATTTCTGCCTTCCCCAGTCCCCAGGAGCACTCTGAAAGCCTCCTAAAGGCCATGAACAGTCATTTTGGTGAAGGGGGTGTGGTTTCGGCATGCAAAAAATGCTGTATTCAATATATAAGATGCGGCCAGATTTTCAGCCTCTTATTCCCTTTTACAATATTGTAATTCAATGTTTAGACTGTGTCATTCATATTTGGTGATTTTTATTTAGTTAAATGATCCCACTACATCTCCGCATGTTAACTAGAGTGTCACAATATTTACTAATGCTTAGTGTAAATCCTGACATATATAATTTTGAAAGAATGAAAGAATGAATGAATAAAGGGAGGGAGGGAGGAAGGGAAGGAGGAAGGAGAGATACAGGATACAAATATTCAGTACTAACCAATGATGTTAACCATTCAAACTAACCATAATGTTGTACTACTAGTTATAAATGGAATTGACTTCAGACTCTCCCTCACATTTAGATGAATAAAAAGACAGATACTCTTTCAGAGAAGGCAATGCTTCTTACAGGACAGATTTTAAAACTAAACAGCCAGGCGTTCATGAGTCATAAGACTGTGGAAAAAAACAGCAGCTACCCATATTTTGAGGAGAAAAATGCACTCTAATAATGGCTCTCTGGTCTTTACTCCAAACCAATTTCCTGTAACAGAAATGTGAAACCTCAGTGAAAATAACTTTACCAAAACAGATCAGAAAAAGAGAAAGTATATTTCATTTTGGTCTATACGAAGGCCACATTCAGGGTCTAATAATAAACTATGAGAGACCTAAAAGCTATTTACAGTTGAAATTAGGACTTGATAACTTTTGGCAGCTGTTAGGACTTTTGAATCCTGCAAGTCCTCCCAAAAATGCCAGGTAGTTTACTAGTCGAACAACAGCATTCACATAAGAACCGAAAAGTGATCGTCTGTAGATATATTTTGTTATTAATTTACTTGATTTATATGAGTGCCCAGTTCACAAATTGAGACTCAATGGCTAACACCAAAACAGGACCAATAACAAAGAACAAGAATGAACACACTGCCAACTAGGGCCAATTCTTAATCATTCAATATTCCAAACACTCTAAACAGCTCACCCAGCATTTTGGTTCAGGAATTGGTGGACATCTGTTTCCAAAAACTGCTTACCATATACTTTTACTAAGTTCCTGAGAAGGGCACGAAGGAACCAGTGTACCTCTATTTTGCCTAGCATCAGAGATACTGATATCATGGCTTAAATTAATCAACATTAGCTTTTCTCATGTGCCACACAATGGAAAGAAGCCAAGAAAGCACAGGATCTTCCAAACTACTTCAGAATGTTTCTCAGGATATTTGAGGATCCATTTTTATGTTTTGCATAGGTTGAAAATAAATGTATCAAGAGTTGAATCTGTATATTCCTACCTGACAGAATAAGGTCAATATTAGAGTCATCCAAAAAGAATACAGGGTAGGTAGAAATTTTTATGTAATCATATTTAATAACTTCATAAAAACAATATATTTGATCTATCAATTATTCATTTTGTGAATAAGGGAACACGACTAAATAACATGATTTTTTTTCTTTATACAGACAGCTGTTACAAAGTTAATGCACTTAAGATATACCTTGATTAAGTAAAGGAAATACTGAGTGTGCTACACTAGCTATTACTTACATTGTGCACTTGGAATACATGGAATGTGGGGTGGTGGGGGGCAGTGCACACAAAAAGGGTAACATGATACTTTTGAGATAAAAACATGAAAAATTTGTGTTATCCTATAACAATTATTTTGATAGTAGTTAATAATTAAAATGCCACATTTTACAATAGTGGCACCAGAAAAATCACCAGCAAATTTTTCCTTCAGTCACACCTTACACTCACTCCCATATTGACTCATTGAATATTTGCTGTATAGTTGTTTTCAAGTCCTAGTGACGTTATAGATAGATGACTCCATATATGCAGAATTAAATAGAAACTGTTTGCTGTTTAACTTGAAAATAATAGTGAACTGAATCCACTGTGGGCGGTGGATATATGGTTTAATAATCTGATGGAGTTTTAAGAAAAAATGAGTTCTAACTGCTGCATTAATCTGATTCATCCAAATTATGTGAAAATATTAATCAGTAAAAAAAACCCCCACCCTAAGTTGTTATTAATTAATGAAGCTGAACAGCAATAACTTGTTATTATAAATCTTATTCTTATTTTCCTTTGTTTGACGAAACCTTACCTCAGCAGCTTGAGTCTCCTGATGCAACAAAGTCAGACCTGTAAGATCTTCTAAGAACGAATGGGAAGAATTAAAAACCTTGGCTAGGAAATTAAAGCCTTCTCTTTCATACTGGTCAAGGACCTGTCAAAAGAAAGCACAACAATCAGAGTTTTTGAATATGACTCTTAATATAAATTTACAAAGAAATTGCAGCTTCCTATTTACAACATGCAAATATTTGTGTTTCTGCTAACAGAAACACGGAAGTTCTCTTTTATACTATTTAAATGAACGATGGTATGAATCCCAAGTTTTTTCACTTCAGCTTAAACAAAACACATTCACATTCTTTGTATATGATCACTACATTAACATTCAGTCATATTTTGGTGGTTATTCATTTCAAGAAAACTAGCAGTTTGGACAATAGCAATCTTTGCTTGCCTGTTTCTTTAGGTCAGGCATTGCTAAAATCATGAATTATGAGGAATTTTCCCTTTAACAGAAACTATTCATTAAAAAAAAAAGATAAGAGTGAAATCTCCCAGCATATTCAAATCAAGGAATGGGAGGGTTTTTTTAAAGCAGAGGATACAAAGAAGATACTCTGAGATTTTCATATCATCAATTAAGTTCTAGAGACAAACCCAATGCCATTTGCCTACTTTGTAACACATTAGAGGTTCTGTATCAGGCTTCTAATCATATGGATCCATAACAAGAATAAAGAGACAACAAAACCAAGTAAACACAAATAAGTTAACAGTTATATCTGTATGAATTGCTACTGAAATATTCTAAAGCAGAGTAAAATGAAATGTAAATATTGAATTAAGAAAATGTTACAGTAATGTTGTACTGTAACATTTTCTTATCTGCAACTGCTAGCAGGGTATATTCATTTTTTGTGGAGTTACAGAAATAAACATAAAAAGTAGAAGATGAATCAGGACGTGGCTAATGCTGACTTAATTGTGATATTTATTCTGTGTTTATGTTAATTTTCACAATGGATAGACATTTCTTAAAAGCATATAATAAGCCTAATATAAGGCTGGTCTCTTTTAATATTCTTGCTATGCTCTTATTATATCTGGTCATTTTTTCCCCAATACAGCCCCTTTCACCAAGGATTTCTCATGACGGCTACAGAGCCTGTTCGATAACAAACTACTGCTTACTACTCCTTCCAGGACAAGCAAAATACAATCAAAGTAGTATTATCACAATAGCCATCCATTTCTCCTCAGGGAGCAGAGCCAGAAGTGCTCTTCCAAAGATAGAACACAGACTGCTCTTATCTGCAGACAGACACACACATACACACTCACACACGACACACACACACACACACACACACAGAGAGGGAGGGAGGGAGGGAGGGAGGGAGATTAAGTTTAATTTTGGCAGAAACAAGAGAATTATGAGGGACAATGTAAATTAGGCCTTCATGAAAACATTTGCCTTTAGAAAAGCCTTGAAAGTGATTATTAAAAAGATTGTGCACATACATTCCAAGCAACAAAGACCTTTAGGGGGGAATTAAGGTAAGGAACTTAGGAAAAGTTAACTTTCATTTTCAAAGATCTAAGAAATGAATATTAGAATAAGAACAAATGGCTCTCCATGACTGCAGGAGGTGATATTTGGGTATTATTTATTTATTTATTTATTTATTTGATAAGAGTATTTACTGCCAGCCTCACCTGGGACTATTCTAGACAGTTTATGAGTCTTGTAATTTATGACTGCATTAAATTGAAAACTCTTTGAGGAATGTTTAGGAAGAATAAATTGGGCAACCCGAGTGTCTTATCAATGTTCCCTCTAATTTTTTTTCAGCGTGCACAGAAAAGTATAGTATTTGAGCGGCACATTTTCATGCCTGAGCAGTGAGCACCTGAATTTTGTTCACAGATGTCAAATAAGACAACAACGAAATCAGTGTTATTTGAAACTCAAAGTTATGTTTATTCAAGGTACCCGCTTAATTAAAAGTGTATATTTTTACTCCCAACCGCCTTATGAAAGACAGCTACCTATTTTGAAATGCAATGTACAAATTCAGTAAATAAAATAAATTCTGCATCAATTTTTATATACTACTACAAGAACCACAACCTAGAACTGCTGTTGCAGTCTTACTGCTTCCAAAGCTATGTGTACACATACCTGTCACAGAATCTGTTAAATGCCATAAAGAAAGAAAGAGGGGGAGTTTTAGAGTTTAGAGTTTTATTAGAATTTGTAGGCCGCCCTTTTTCCTGAGGGGACTCAGTGCGGCTCAGATAAAACTGGGAATGGGGAATACAAACATCAAGATAGAGACATATAATAAAATGGTAGGCAACATACATTCATCATTCGGGAGGGGCAACTATCCTTATCCCCAGGCCTGTCGGGCGAGCCAGTTCTTCAAGGCTATGCGGAAGGCTTGGACGGTGGAGAGGGTACGAATCTCCACGGGGAGGTCGTTCCAAAGGGCCGGGGCTACTGCTGAGAAGGCCCTCCTCCTTGTAGTTGCCTATCTATCTATCTATCTA